TGTTGGTGACCAACAATTTGGAGTAGTATAATCACTTATCAACAGATGCTGTTGGTGACCAACAATTTGGAGTAGTATAATCACTTATCAACAGATGCTGTTGGTGACCAACAAGCTGGAGTAGTATAATCACTTATCAACAGATGCTGTTGGTGACCAACAAGCTGGAGTAGTATAATCACTTATCAACAGATGCTGTTGGTGACCACAAGCTGGAGTAGTATAATCAATTATCAGTAGATGCTGTTGGTGACCAACAAGCAGGAGTAGTATAATCACTTATCAACAGATGCTGTTGGTGACTAACAAGCTGATGTTGTATAATCACTTATCAACAGATGCTGTTGGTGACCAACAAGCTGACGTTGTATAATTACTTATTGATAGGTGCTGTTGGTAACCAACAAGCTGACGTTGTATAATTACCTTTTTAATAGATGTTTTTTGGGGCAATGAAAGTGTCGTTGTATAATTACCATATTTTTACACCCATCGAATATAGTATGTTTAAATAAGTAATTATAACACACGGAAAAAGAGGATCACCTTACAGTGATCCTGCAATATTTTTAAATAGGCCTAACATAATGTGTATTATAAATTATAACAATGAAACTAACTTTTCATGTGAGAACAGTATTTTAATCTATGTTGTAAAAGTATACCATATTCGAAGGTCAAATTTTACTGAACTTGAAAATTTTTCGTTAAAACGAAAAGATCTATAAACATTAATTTATTAGTTTTTAAGTTAACAGTTTGAAAAAAAACGCTTTTTAATCAGCTTCGTTTTTGCATGTTAAACGATATAGATATTATAAAAAGTCCATCGTAATTTACACTTGATTCACTATGATTTGGGTCTTAATAGTTATCATGCCTAGACTATGGATTTCTCAAAAACGTGTTCCACACTTTGGGTTCGATAATGTGCTATAAAAGTAACGGTCAAATCCCAGTATTAGGTCAGATACGAGTAGCACTAGAGCTGGTGGTGGCGTTGTTTACCCTTTGCCTTCCCTCTAATCTATCAATTCCAAATTATTGACGACAATATAATTTGCAGCCCTTGTATAAAGTTCTGAAACAAAGAAAGAAAAGCATTTAAATATGGACCAAGATGTTTATAGGACTGCTTTTCATTCATGTTGAGGAAGAAAATGTTTTCTTTATGTACAATCCTCTAAATAATTACAGTTATAACAGACTTGAAAACACATAAGATAAACGTGAATCTTTATTGAAAAATTAATAAGTCGAATCATTTTTCTTTCAGTTTTAAAAGTTTGTCACAATTCCCAGTAGCTTGAATAATTTGTTTACACATTAGAGTGTTCTTCTTTATATTACAGAGCAACGTGCAGAGGACGTTAAAAGGACACTTTTTAAGCATCGTAAGACAAGATGTTTTTGGGTGGGTGAGGGGGAGGTGTTAGGGGAATTGAGATTGCCTTTGATACACAAAGGGTAGAAAGCCATGAGATTCAAACAGATCCTCTTTTATTCCTATTCAATCGATTTTCTAAACACATTTAAAATATAAAATTAACAATAAATTTTGTGTATTAACACTTAATAGTATATCACGTTTTTCTTTTCTTTTACTGTAAAACTCTACAGCTCCCTGTGTGCCTTTCATTTTAAAGCTGAAATCTTTTTTTCCCCCTAAGGTGTGGAATCAGGCATGTTCTTTAGTGGCTTTGGACAATTTTTTTATGACTGAGAGAAAGGACACAGTTTACAGTAATTACAGGTTTACAGTAATCGTTAATTATTCTCCCTGATAAATCTCTTATATTAAACTCTTTAAATATGCTCATGGCCAGTACTGACATCAGTAGCCATTTTCTACTGTCTTGCCATCTGTTGTGCATATTAGGAACTAACGTTTCGTAGTGTTGTGTCTTTTAGTTTCCACACATGCAAACCATAAACACATTAATATACAACATATCGGGCGCCGTTCCATTTATATTCCCATAGAAATTCTGTAGTTTGGAAAATTTAATTTTATCATGAGTAATTTGTAAACGACATTTAACTAAGGCGATCCATAGTGTTTTCATAAAATTTGATTTTCAAACATTATTTATTAGCTTTCTTCCTTCTAGCCTGTAAATCAAAAATCAGGGACGACTAGCGCCTTGTGTAGCTTTGCGCCAAAATTCGAAATAAAGAAACAAAAAGTTCCTAATTGAAA